CCCCCCCGCCCCACCGAGACTAGACGATCACGTGCCAACTACTACTTCGCCAGGGCGGCGACGGATGCGGCACGCTGCGGTAAATGGGTGAAATGAAAACAGCGGCAGCAGTCGCTAGAGGGGAGAGGCGTGCGCGAGGAGGAAGGAAACTGACCCCGGGGAAGCAGAAAAGAAACGGCTCCTCTGTCTGGCCGCTGTCCACCCCATAGTCCTGCCCGGCGCAGCCGGTCCTGTCCCGACCGGGCTCGGCCTATTCTTTCGAGATGGGTGTGACAGCCGTGGCGTAAGCGAGAAGCCGCCGGTGGTGGAGGAGGAGCCGGTAGCGGGGCGGTAGCAGCGGGGCGGTTGCGGGGCGGTGGCGGGGCGGTAGCGGGGCGGTAGCGGGGCGGTAGCGGGGCGGTAGCGAGGTGGTAGCGGGGCGATATACTGGGGCGGTAGCCACAACACAAAGGCGGGGGAGGGGCAGGACGTGTCGTCCGCCCATCGCCGAGGCTGAAGGGGGTTTGGCGACAGCGTCGGAGATGTATGGGGCTTCTCGTCCAGTCCGAGCTGCAGGGGACTGCAGGGGAGTGCGCCCCATCCCACTGCACTGCAGCTGAACTTGCCCGCCTGCGCCGCGCCTGAGGCTGAGGCTGAGGGCGCGGTCACGAGCATGGTGCCCGGCGGGGTGCCCGGCGGGGTGCGCGAGGCTGCACAGTGCCTGCACCGCCGCGTCCTGCTGGCGCTGGGCTGGCGCCCGCAGCTGCGCTAGCGCCTCTCGGCCTCTTGGCCGCGCTGGCCGCCCAGCCCATTGTGCAACCCGGGGGCGCATCACGCACGGTTTAGTTGTGCCAGCGCGCCCCATGCATCACACCCGCCCCTCCGCACCCCGCACCCCGCGGTGCCACTGTACAAGGGGCGGCTCATGATGTCGGATGTCCCCACAAATAAAAATTTCACATTTCCTTGGTGTGCCAGCATTTGCGAACTCACGGACGGGACGGCCGCAGGGGATAGGGCCGGACCCGGCCTGACTGCGCAACCCGGAAATAAGGTGTTTCCAGAAAAAGCAGTCGTTCTAACCCTCGTTGATGTTGACGTTAGCCCGCTCGCCGCCACCGGTGACAGCGCCTGCAACGCACTGGGTAGGCCAACCCGCCAAGCTCCTGTGTGGAGACGACGGCCCGCCCTGACCCTGAGGGTGCAAGTGCAGTGGGCTTGCACGGTGGAGTCAGGTCAGGAGGAACAAATGTTTCCGAGCGTTGGCTAGGGGGCGTACATTGTTCAAGGGGGACCTTTCAGTTCTAGGTCAGCTCTGATTTTACACTGGAAAAAACAAAGGTGTTGAGTCGCACTTGCTTTGGTGCTTTGCTATGGGCACTAATAAACCTTAAGCACCTTATACACAGAAAACAGAAGTGTGCAACTGGCATGCCCGTGGTCGTGTTTAATTCTATGATGCATTACACTCTCAGGTGTTGAACCAAAAATATTTGAAAACTTGAAAGTGTTTAACAGTGAATTTGAACACTTGCATCTGCACGCGCAATTTTATTGACACTAGAACTCCTAGAGCGAGGATTCTCGCCCTCTGGAGGGCGAGAATTTGCACCAAATTTTCTCGCCCTCTGGAGAGCGAGGTTTGATTTTCTCGCTCGATTAGAGCAATAGATTAAGAAATGTCGCTCTATTTGCGTGATGATTGAAAAACCTCGCTCTTTTTGAGTGAGGATTTCTGAAGTTAATCTCTACATTTGGGACACTGTGTTAAGTTGTTGTACCGGGTACATTTTTCATGAAAGGTGTCGTAAATTTACAATTCAAACTTGTAAAATAACGAGCATTGGGTTTCGACTTGAAATTCGTCGACGAGCAAGGGTGCCACGTTACAAATAAAACATATCTTGTACTAAAAAGTAAATTAACAAAATATATTGACGTCTACGAGCATTTTTTTTACAGTGAAGGAAAGGGAGGGGTGGTAAGGTGATATAGAGGATAGGTGGCCGCAAGCGCTCCTATTGGGGGAACCACTTCCCTCGTCACCCAATGACAGGTCAGCGCGGGGAGGGACAGCGAGCCCCCCCGGACTCCAGCCGGCCCTCCTATGCTACCTGTACTACCTGCTAGGGATTTCAAACCGACCGGCGGAGCGGCGGGAAGGAACCGTTTTCCCCCACCTCGCCCGCTTGCGGCCACCTATCCTCTATATCACCTTAAGGGGTGGGGGAGGTCTGTGCGGGTTGACGGTGGATGGCAGAATTAGCGCACGGCCGACTGAGACTCGATGATGACGATTGTCTTGTGTTTCGCAGGCCCTGCTGCCCCGCCGGAGGCACGATGGGGGGCCCGCACGTACACTCCGTGCGCCTGCACCGGGACTTCCAGGGCCAGCCGTGGGGCATCCGCCTCGTGGGCGGAGTGGACCTCAACGCGCCGCTGGTCATCACCAGAGTAAGTCGCACCCGAATCGCATTGGCGGCAGCAGCTTTGGTAGCTGACGTCATCTCTCAGAGGGAAAACAGCCACGGTCGGCGTGCGGCGCAGCAGCGGTGGTGTCCATTTTCCTTTTAGCAAGATGCCCAATAACTCAACAATTTTTTCATGCCGGGAAATAAATCGTTGTTTCATTAATTTGTAGTCAAGAGTATAAAAATAACTCCAAAGATACTACATTTCTCGGGATCCACAGTGGAAAAGTTTCAAAGGGAATGGTTAAATCAAACGACGCAGGAAACGGAGACCACCTAATGTGGTTCCGGTGGTGGCATAGTCTCTTGGCACCACGCCGCTGACGCCGCTCGCCTTACAGCACGCGGTGCAGCCGCAGGCTTGGCCAGAGGCTTGGGCGCCCAAACACCTTACGGCTGCCCGACGGCGGCCCGCGGAGGCCAAGGTTTCGATGCAGAGCGGATTGGCGCGGCCCGCAGTGAGAGTGGTCGTGACATTTCCTTCCCGGTAAAAATAGAGGGATACAAGGAGTGGCGTGGCGTGGCGTATCCCTTAGCGGAGCAACAGCCACGTCGAGGCAAAGGAATGCCAACGCTGTGTACGAAACGGCCGAGCGATGAGCGACGTGCTATAGCCGAAACTGAAGGGGGACTATGGCCGCTACCGACACCGACATGGGGAGGGGGCAAATACGAACCGCATTGGATGCATAGGAGGTGGGCGATCTTCTTACACTCTGTTTTTCTTTGGGCCCAGTGCCAGGTCGGCAGTCCAGCGGAGGGCGAGCTGCACAGAGGCGACGTCATACGAAAGATTAACGAGTACGACTCCAGGGACCTGAGGCACAAGGACGCGCAGAGCCTGTTCAGGACTGCGGGCAACACCATCGACCTGGTCATCGTCAGGTAACATCGTTTTGTGTTTTAAATGCATTTGAACTCTTCTATTACAGAAGAGTGTGACATTCAAACCTTTAAAAGTGCGTGTCTTAATGCCACACGAAAAAAGTGGGTGACAAACATGTCACACACTCACTCCGGTGTCGGACAAGTACACACTTCTTACTATGCAAATCAAACATTTTTTGAGTACCGGTTGTCACACACTTTTCTGTGTGTGACACGTTGTTCACACACTCTTTTGTGGGACGTTTTGGCACACACTTTAAAGCATTGGAATGTCACACACTTTGAGGTGTTTGAATACTTTAAAAGTGTTGTAATCACTGTTAAAAATTTCCTCGTAAAGTTACATTTTTTGTAATTTCGAATTACAAAGTATTGTTGTAAATTTACGACAGGCCAGTTTTGCTCCGCGATACATTCCAAGTCGATACGAAGTGATTGTGATTTTACAATTTCAAATTGTAATTTTACGAACTCACATCATGGAAAATTTTCCCGTAAACTTACGACTTTTTTTCACAGTGAATGTCAATCACTTTAAAGTGTTGTAGTAGTGTCAGGCTCTTTAACGTGTTGTACTGTCGCACACTTGCAGAGACACCCTGGCCGTGCCGCCCTCCAGCACGGCGGCCAGCTCGCGCGCCAGCAGCGTGGCTCCCTCCTGCTCCACGCCCACGCCCACCTTCGCGGCGCTCAACGCCCGCCCGCCCGTGGCCGGCGGCGTGGCGACGGCCCTCGCCGCCTGCCTACCCCGCAGCCCCAACGGCGACCTCAGCCCGCTGCCGCACGCCTTCGACGGCCCCCGCCACCGCACCGACGACGACATCATGCCCATCCACAATCAGGTTGGTGCAGCTGGCGACACCGAGTTCCGGCGCCATCTCGGATTACAGTCCCCAAAATTGTCGTGTTTTGTTTACCGTTTTAAAGAGAAAGCACGAGTATTTTGAGGATTCTTTTCGAGACTGACAGCGGAAGTCGAACAATTTAGGAAGCTCGCTTCGATCACCCTACTGTCGCCAATTTAATTTCAAATCGCACGGAAATTTTAATTTTTAAAGCGCTTTAGAGCCAGAATGCTTCGAAATAGCCCGTTTCTAGCCAAAAAAGAAGCCTCTTATTTTGCTTCGGGGCAGCACTGTAGCGATCATAAACCTCCGACCGACAATACCCCGCGCAGTGGTTTCTAAAGTTAGGTTTACCCACCCCTCCTCGACTTCGATATACCCCCAAGCGAAGTGACTTCAGGCTGCTTCAGGCGCGCAGATGTACCCCACGGTGCAGAATGGGGGAAGTACCAAGGGAGTTACCCCTCGCTGCAGCAAGGCGCCGATACACCCTCAGCGAGGGGTGCGGGGTAGGGTTCCACTCGGAGCGAGACTTCGCGTCACAGAACTCTCTTAGGGCAAACCTGGGCAAACCAAGATCCTGTATTCGTTCTTTTCGTCCTGGTGTGATTTTATTTATACTGCTTTTGCAATATTAATCATTTTAAGAAAGGAGAAAAAAAAATTCCGATACCGGGAATCGAACCCGAGCCTCCTGGGTGAAAGCCAGAAATCCTAACCACTAGACCATATCGGATTGGTACGGGAGAATAGATTCTTTACTGACATTCTACGGATATACGTAACACAAGACCAGAGCAAGTATCTACCAAACAGTTAAAAAATTCCGATACCGGGAATCGAACCCGAGCCTCCTGGGTGAAAGCCAGAAATCCTAACCACTAGACCATATCGGATTGGTGAAGAAGAAGGGATACTTTTCCGACATGCTGCGAAGCTAAGAAACAGAAGACCCGAGCAAGTACCCGCCAGAGATAAAAATTTCCGATACCGGGAATCGAACCCGAGCCTCCTGGGTGAAAGCCAGAAATCCTAACCACTAGACCATATCGGATGGGTGACAACCAACTGCCGGGCACCGCACCTTATCGGCTTGAAAGGCTGACGCAGATCCCCACTGCGTCGTGTTGTCATTGTCCTTCGGCTCTCGCCTGGCCCCGGGCGGACAGGAGGGGGGGGGGGCAACCCGGAGGAGAGGATACAAGAGATTAGGGGGACTGTTAGGGAGAAAGGGACCCGGAGGGAACACTCGGGGGAAGCTATCGCAAGAGGTCTGAGGTCAGTGCCTTGCCTTGGGGCCTGCTGTGCGGCTTGCCGTGCGACTGCGTCATGGCATGTGTGATGTAATGATAGGAAGTGACGATTCTGCGCCGTCGTTAATTTACAAAAAAATTGTATACTCGTAATATATGATTTAAGCTGTAAATTTACGAGCGCACAATTTTTACTCGCCAATGGATTTTAAGTCGATACGTACTGCGTGTATTTTTGCAATTACAAATTTTAATTTTACCACTTGCTTCAAAGAAAATTTTACTGCAAACCTTCCTACTATTTTTTTTACAGTAAATCAAACTTCGAAGTGAAGAAAATGATATTTTTATTGAAACGTCTTTTTGGAGTGTGTACAATATATACGATATACAAATAGTTTCGATATTCACAAAATGACAAGTAGTAGCCCTCATCAAAAATGTGGAGATGCCGGGGATCGAACCCGGGGCCTTTCACATGCAAAGCGAACGCTCTACCACTGAGCTACATCCCCCCTCTTGCTCGCCTGATCCCGACGGCGCGCTGCCGTATCGCAGCCAGGACGACCGCGTGTCGTGGCGTGGCGGGGCGTGGCCGGGCGTGGCGGCGGGCCCGGACCCGCACGTGGCGGCGCCGAACACCGCGTGGCCCGAGCACCCTGAGCACCCGCCACAGCACTGAGACGCTGCTCGATGCTCGACTGAGCCGTACCCAGAGGCCGTACCCGTATTCCAGGCCAGCATCAGCCGTTAGAGAAGACAAAACTATGATTATTTCCAGTAGGGGACAGGCCATTAATTTTTTCCATGGACCATCTAGTCAAGTCCAATATTGAAAACATACCAGGTGGCTGATTCACGCCGCGCTCTTCTGTAGTTATGCTGTACCGCATGCACGAGTGCGGGCGCGTTGCCTACTCGCTCGGCTCGTAAGGCGCCGTGGACAGGGGCGATAGGCACGCCCGCCCGCGCACTCGTGCATGCGGTACAGTCTAACTACAGAAGAGCGCGGCGTGAATCAGCCACCTGGTATGAGCTATGATATAGTTATCCCACCACATCAAACCGTTAAACGATAAATTAAAACTACAAGTGTACGAATGGAATTCCACACGCCTGCAAGAGTGTGACAGTCGCACACTTGGGACTTTGGTTCCGGAGGGCCGCGAGGGCAGAGGGCCGGGCCGGCGCGGCCTGCGCGGGTGGAACAGGGTGGCCGCAGAGGTGGGAATGCTCTGGCGAATCGGCCGGCCGTCGCGGCGGCGTCTTGCGGCACCTAAGAATTATTTCTGTCCTGGCACATATTTTGTTGCTCAGCTGTGCCATGGCTGCCATGGGTTAGTTCGCCGACTGTGAGGGGAAAAAAAGACTAGGATACATGGACGACGTGACGGACGGGCTTGGCAAGTGGGACACTGGAGAACCTTGCTGACAGTACACTTTCAAATAAAATTGGGATTTCACGTGTGAAGAAAGGACTCCACAGTTATCCTAAATATATGCCGCACGCACGAGTGCAGGCGGGCTTGCCTATCGCCCCTGTAGTTGGAGCCTTACGGTGCGAGCGGGTAGGCAACCCGCCCGCTCTCCCGCGTGTGGTAGTGTGACTACAGAAATGAGCGGGGTTAATAAGTCACCCGGTATGTGTTCAGTACACATTTGAAGCGACAGAGCCGTTATCTTTGCAACATGAAGACTAACAAAGTCCACTGGTATTTCCCCTCGCATTAATCATGTCGTAGATGCGAGTGAGTATTAAGGGATTCCCCGAAAAAATCTTAACATGTTGTTCCTGACCTTATTTTGGACAATGTCAGCATATGGGTTTCCCAATAATTCTGGGTATTTTCTTGTACAACGTGGAAACGAATGCCCGACTCAGAACTTGGGACACAGTTGTGTGGTACGCCCTGGAAACTCAAGTGGGTTAATGTTGTACACTTGAAGGTGAGTGAACGCCATTCGTACACATGGACTCTCAAGTGTGTGCACGTCAAAGGAAAATTCACACCTTTACTTTCTCAAGGGTGTACGGATAGGTATTCACACACGACTTGCGTTTCCAGTGCTGTTGCTTATCATCAAACGGCCGAAAAGGTTGCGTGTCGTCATCAGCAACTGAGACACAGCGGTGAAGGGCTACGTAGCAGAGACCACACTACTTGGGCGGTGCTTGATCGACTCCATAGCTTGTAGTGGATCTATCAGCCGGTATGGCTCGCGCGGACTTTGAAGAGGCGCATCCTAAGGCTGCCGGATGCCGCTCTATCCGACCACGCTGCTTGCTTGCCTGGGCTCCCGGCCAAGTGGTTTTAAGAAATTGCGGCATTCCCTGCTCGAGTCTGCTGGCCCGGTGCGGCGCCGTGCGCGTGCAGCGCCGGCCCGCGGCCAGACAAAACTTCGCGAAACTAGCGGAGAGGGTGGCGTGAAAATTATGGCTATTGCGCTCCGTGTAAGCAGCTCATTTCAAAAAATCAACAAGCTTGTTTCGCCCGGTCTTGTTTTCTCCTGGCGTAGTTCAAGTACTGTTGACGGAGCACCAGGGCCGTTTAGCCCAGCCTCTGCACAAGCGTCAGCGCCGGTAGTGTTCGGCTCGCAATTAGTCCCGGCAGCACCTGTTGGCAGCTCCGCCCCGCCCCGAGCCCGCCCCGCACAGGATTGTGGCAGCGGCCCGCCCGCTGGCAACGGCATGTTGTGCCGTCCAAGCAGCTGAAAACATCCAACTGACGCGGGGGTGACGATAATAAGGGAATGGCACCCACCCGCTACCAGCTAGATAGGCGCTATTGTCATTAGTACTGTTCCAGACAGGCAATTCCAGATAGGGGTGCTTTGAGGAGGTGGACTTGGCCGCTTGCATCACGGAAGAACCGTAAAGCGGTAAAGCGGGACTAAGTTCTGAACTCACGAATGACAGGTCGTGCCTACAGCCGAGCACTGGTAAAACAAGTGTGCAATATTTGCATACCAAACGTGTGCAAGTTTGTGATTTAGCACATTACATGGTGTTTAACTCAAGTTGCACACTTGCGTGGTGCGCAAATTTTAGACGTTTAAACGTTTAAATTCTGCACACTTGGACACACACAGTGCTATGCTGTCAATATGGTGCAGGTGTGCAGCTGCTATACGTTTCGGAAGTGTCGAAAGTTTAAACACCAATTGACGTAGAACATAGTTCGACACCACAAAGTGTCGAGAAAATGCACACTTGAACTTAAACGTCAATTGACGTGCAAAATTAAACACTTGTTTTACCAGTGAGTGGCCAGCGGTACCGGCCCATCACATCAAGTATCACACGGCTGAAAAGCCATGGCCAGTGGAGCGCGAGAAACATCACCGGGGCGGGATTAGAACCAGCGAGCAGGCTCATGCCGGGCCAGGCCAGGAGGCTACACTGTTAAAAATAGTTGTGAAATGATGATATTTGTGCTAATGACAGTTCTGTTTTAAAACAAGATAGTTGTTTCCAATCAAATATATTCAAAATCATGGAATTGTACATGTATTTTGCCCACCATCGGAAATAGGGCACGATCCATGTCTTCAGATTACAACTCCTGTATTGTAAACTTTCTTAGCAACACGTGTTGTTGAAAAACAAACAAATTTGTGATGTAACAACATTTTTGTTCTTAAAAGCGAAATACATCACAAATTCTTGATGCACATCTTTTTAAAAGTTTTCATTTCGGAAAAAGTCTATTGTTGAATTACAAAATGTGTTGTTTAAAAACAACA